AATCATTGGCATGCCGTTGTGCATTGCTTTTTATAAGAACACACATAACAAGCTTAAAGAATGACAAGCTCAGGGAATTACTTCTATTGAACAAGCAAGGATCACCAAGGAAGAAACAATTTCAAATAGGAAACGAACCACAGCATTTATAAGCTCTCTACAATGTAATGTGATTGGCTATTCATCAAAGAGTGTGCCGGAAAATTAAGTTGTTAAGTTATCATGTTATTATGCCATACGTAAAGTCATGAACTCACATTTCAAAGCCCAATTATTATAGTGGTATTTTGTGAAATTAATTCCCACATCCCTATGAATAAGGTCACCCAGAAATTACATTGCTTGTTAAGACTTTATGTCTTGCTGTATAATTGGAGGCAGAAGAGAAAGGACTATTTGTTTGATTGAAACGGAGGCAGTCTTTCAATGAGTTATTTCTAATATCTGTCCCCAATTCCTCTTCGTAGCTATGATACGATTCAGGCAGGAAGTTAGCGACTCTGCAGCCTTTGAAAGCCGATTTCTATTGCAGAGTATTTTTAGGTCGGAGCCCTCCACTCGGAAGCACCCTTGACTTATTTGACCTGTGCGGGACGACCAGGGGTTTTGTGCCGGTCCACAAGCCGCACCACACTTGACATTACCAGCATGTGACTCCATGTTGACAGTGGTTTTCATGTCGTGTATCTTTATGTCTATTTACTTGTACTTGTCCCATGCACCTAAGTATCTTTGTATCTCTCCGTGCGGGCTGTTACATTACGGTTGCGGGTTACGGTTTACAGTTTACTGCCGCTTCTGCTGCTTGACCCACTAAGGACAGATTACGTGATTTGTCCCGTGTACGCCGGAAGTGAATCCGTACAGGCGGAGACGGAGACGGAGCCGGAGATGGGGACGGATGTGGATGCGGATGCGGATGCGGATGCGGAGACTGTGACGGAGCTGCATACGGCGACAGAGATGGCAATATCAACGTGGCGATAAGCAGGACTGTGAAAATTTCAAAGGGCATAAAAATTTAAATCACGTCACTTAGGGCGAGCGGGAGCGACTGCGACTGGGGCGACACAAAAGACGCAGCTACGAGTCCGGACATAATGGGGTGCCATGTAAATAGTTGGCCCAGACGGAGGCGCACGGTTTAGTGTTCGTGTCCGTTCCCATGTCCGTGGCTCGGATTTGGGCCTGCAGCACTTGGAAAAGTTTATCTGCCAGTTCTTTTTGGATCGGTTAATAATAAGTTTTCACTATTAAATAAGGCAATAAAGGGAAAATATCATAAACATAGTCGGAAAATATTCAAATAAATTTATAGCCTTAAACCTGTACAGAATATTTTGACCTACTTTGAGAAAGGTTTGGCTTTATTTTTATTCATATTAGTGAAAAACTCAACTACAAAATACTTGTAATATTAATTCACACAATACTGGAGCTCAGAACATAACACATAACCTTGTAAAATAATGGAGAGAATCGAACACATTCTTTGAGTGCATGTTGCTTTGTGGGTGTGCCAGTGTGTATGTGTTGGTTAAGCCGCTTTTGAGGCAGGCACTCAGGCACAGGAACAGGCACAGGCACAGGCACATCCAATTCCACACTCACAGGAACAAGCATAGTCGGTGCCGTCACAGGACCCGTTCACGTGTGTGTTTGTCTCCGCTCCTTTGTGAGCGTGAGCGTGTGTGAGTGCCATGTTGCTGAGGCGCGGCAAAATGCTTGTTACGCTTTTGAGCCACCGCCTGCGGTTGACAGAGCACGTTGGACCACCCAGCCCGTTCGGATGAAGCCCACCCACTCACCTGGCCACCCAGTCATCTCTGCATCCCACCATCCAAACGGAAAGCCGCTCTGCGGCCAGATGCACATTAAAACGCAATTAAAGTTGCAGCCGTTAATTGTGGCGCCTCTTTTGCCTTATTATTGCGTTTTCCCCCTGCCAGTTTCTTCAGCGCCTTTTGCCGTTTTGAGTTAGTTGCCAAAAATTAATTACTTTCGCCCTGTCAAAGTTGGCCAAGTCATTGGAAAAGAGTGAAAAGAAATACGGGCCAAATGGAAGCACGTGTGTTCCGGAAATCGTATTAACGCAATTTTGTAAAAGATTTTGAAGTTGACTTTACTAGTTTAACCTCGAAATGTGATAAATGTATTTTAGAACTTAATGAAAGTATTATTGTTGTAAAGAAACAATATCACACTTTAGATTTTATGTTAAAAATAACAAATATATTGAAAATTTTATAAATAGGAACTCATTAAAGGTGTTTGATAGTACTGAATTATCTACTGACGAGACAGAGATCAGGAAATTGAGTGAAACGAGTCCAGATAAATGATCTTGAAATATAGGCGATTCTTGAAATAAATGAGTGAAATCGAGCCTAGTTAGACTTGCTTTTTAATAAATATAGAAAAAGAAAATATATGTATCAGGAAATGTAACATGAAGAACCTTCAATACTTAAACTTAAAGTAAACTTATATTAAACTCAACATGAAAGCAATAAATAGTATGGAAAAAGAGTGCTGTTGGTGCTTTAAGGAAATCTTAGAATCTCGATATTTAATTTTAATTCAAATTCAGCTGGTATGCTTTCCTCAATTTATTTTCGAAAGTGACTCCTCTGCCAGAGAGTTTCCTTTTGCGGGAACGTACATACGCTTCTGAATGTCTACTAATGAATCATGTCCATGAATAAAGCCACAAGCGGGGCTCAGACCGTTTTTCGGCTTTCGCTCGGCTATAACTCTGGGCGGGTGTGGGCGTAAGTTAAAATAAGTGGGCGTGCCAGAAGGCTGTCGGTGCTAATGGGGTCACACACACTCCGCAGACGAAAATATGTATAGAGTCGTTGGTTACTTTTGCCCGAACAGTTTCTTTTGCCAGTTGTGCAGTTAAATCCGTTTGCCAGGCGACTTTATCTTTCAGCACAGATTCTCAATAGCAGCTGCCGGGTTTTCCTCCGCTGACGTTGCATGCTGCAAGCGCTGTTTATTTCGCATCTTCTTCTCATCCTTTGTATTTGTTTTCACTCCGTTTCTCCTACTACTATTTTTTGTCGCTGCTCTGCCAGCGAGTTCGCAGCTGTCGGAGGTTTGGCTTAAGCGCCAGGCGCCGGCGACGTGCCGCTGAAATAATTAAGTTGCCAATTCCGGCAAACAGAATATCAACTGGGAGGCAGGGGCAGGCCGAGATGGGAGGGCTTACATTTAGTGGCATAGATTTTCAATTAGGCTGCCAGTCTGCGCAGCTGGCGTTGATTTCGTAGATGCTCTTTGTTTTTCACTCGAAAACTTTATTTTTCCAGCTCAAAAGTCAGACGTTCGAGAACGGAGGCATGGCTGGAAAGCCCAATTCTCATTAACGTTGCAATCTACGCTAAGCTTGGCCGACTTAAAAATTGGTAATCCCTCGCCTTGGCAACGTATGCGTAATATCCGGGATTGGCCCCCGGCATTGGACCACAAATAGAGAGCAAACTGACACAACCAATCCACAAGCTCACACACACACACACAAGCCGCTTGTCGAACATTTCAGCTGGAAGGAATTGGGAGACATTTCTCGAACATTACGCATACGCACGGTTGGCAGCCACAACATCACAGCTGGGGCGTTTTCTATGCATTAGCTGACGAGTCGCTCCTTTGGCGCCTGCTGAGCCGAAAGAAAGGAAAAGTGAAAACTGATGCATTTCCCAGCTGCAAACACGCCCAGTTGACATTCTTTTGTCAGAGTCTTGTTTTGCCTTGTCTCAAGATGTGGTGGCTCGATCATTAGCATCAAAGTCATGCCGGAGTTTCGACAAATTGCTTTGCAACGCAACAATCACTGAACAAACTGTTTACAATAAAGTTATTTACGCTGTTTAAAGTTTGTAAAAGTCTTAAGAATTTGATCATTTTGTATAGCTAATACTTTTTACCAACATTATCAAGCTTATCTTATATTAATTTTCTTTAATTAAGAATCAGATTATTAAAAAAGTATTTTACCAATTTGCTATTCGTTGTAATCTTTAGCATATCTCTTAAAGAATCTTAAAACCCTACTCATCTCAGTAGTAACCTTTATCATAATGGCCACTCCAACCCTAAAGCTTTAAATAAAAAAACCTAGTTTTTTCCCGAGTGCTCAGCGAATCGAATTTCGGATTGAGACAGACCTGCGTCTGTGGCGCTCCCAAAAAAAAAATAAGAAATGAGATGGCAAAAAGCAACTGGGTCGCCCGGGTGCAATGCAATTTGAACAAAGGCTACGGAGGAACTTGGTTGCGGCGACATGTAGCGTTTAAAGTTGTGGCAGGCGAGCGAAGCCGAATGAATACCAAATCAATCGATACGCTAGTGGGAAATCGAAGTTAGCTGGCATCCAGCAAGGCAGACATTTTTCTGCTTCGTTGACCCAGGGAGCGGAAAAGCAATTTCGGTCTGTGCCACCTCAAGAAGCTGGCACACCGCCTGCCCCGCACTTTCACTAGGCCAAACGATTTGCAAATTTTACCAACGCATCACTGGGTATTGCTCACAACCAATCGAGGGCATTAGCCGGGTGAAAAAAATATAGGAACGTCTTAACCAAATACGGGGAAGGCGTTCGATTTTTAAGTCAATCAACTAGAAAAAGTTGCACTCGCTCGGTGCGCAAATCCGTTGCGTATAAGGATCCGGGTTGGGATGCCAAAGTTTTTACAGCACGGAATTAAGCGATTAGATGGAAGTTTGCCACCCAGTTGGAAGCATAAATTATTCCTAGTTTCCGCATCTGTCCCCAACAGATTTGAACACTTGCAAAAATCCATGGTCAATTTAACACATGTCTAAGTTAAGCGGAGTTTTGGTTCAAAATTTTTAATTTGCAATAAGAAAATAATGCTTATGAGCACAGATTCGATTTTATTGGAATCAGATTTTGAAACAAAAATGTTTTTCTCTCAAAACAAACTTCAATATGAATTATAAACTTACAACCTTAAATAAAGATGAGTAATTAAGTAGACTATGGAATGAATTTCAATCTTCCTTCTTATTGACATGTTTTCTTAGACGAAAATCGATGTATTAACTGATTTAAATCACTACTTGTGAATCCTGCCTGGAAAATACCAAGAGATTATTCCATGTGCAACACCAGGACTGTTTTCAGAATGAATGCGCATTCAACAGCCGTTGCCACCATAGATATTGAGCTGGATTTGGACATCGCTACGGATATAGATGTGACCACGGAGAGCGGCGACGAAGACGTCGATTCGGAAGTGGATCAGCGGGATGAGGTGTGGGAGAAGCTGCGGCGCCTGCAAGCGGACCATGTGTGGATCCGGGAGGAGCTGATGCACCTGCAGCGCCGCATGGTGACACAGTGCTTGGCCAGGCAGCGACGCGCGTACCAGATCATGAAGCAGATGCAGCAGCTCCTGTGTCGGCTGCAGGTGAAATATGGTCGCACCTGGGGCCAGTAGAAGACATACGGCTCTGGGGCACTGGGGATTCCCGGAACCGGGCCTCTAGTGTCAACACTTTAAGGCAGGCGACTGATGTGTCGAGTGGTTCAAGAGGCTCAAAATGCAAAATTACATGTGCCAGGGTGACTGCGAGTACTTACACGTTTCAAGCTTGTTGTGAAAAGTTAAATACACAAAGTTGATGAATTGAATTTTTCATGGCGCCCTTAAATTCGGTTGCGTCAACCCAACACAGCCGGGATTTTGCTGAATAATTTATTTGGGAATGTTGCATGATGAGAATGTGATTGAATTTTAAAAATATGTTGATCCAGAAATTTAAGAAGCTTCTTAAGTATGGCGAGTCATACATACAGGGTGAAAATTTGGGAATTCCTTATATACCATTCAGATTTAAGCCATCTTACAACCATTTCTAAGTATATAGGTTTCTGTGATTACTTCATGCAATTGCATTATATCCTCTAATAAATATCGTGACTGTATCTTATAATACAACAAAACAAACAAAGAAAGACATATAACAAAAGGATAAACTTGAACGTGTTTTGTGCTTTAGATTTGCTGGTACCATTTTTGATATTTATGCCTGCAAATAACAACACTCTCAAAATTATAATAAACATAATCAGTTAATCTTAGAAACCACATATTGGCAATTTCAATGGTCAACACCTTCTTAATTGGTAAACAGCCTTATTCATCATTGATGTTAGCACAAATACCCACAATATATACATATACATATATGTTTGGAGGGGATGCCCGGTGCTTGCACAAGTCATGCGATTAATTCACTCAACGCATACCATATAGACCTCATAACCCGGAGGCAATCAAAGTATGGTTCGAGCTCCGCCGGAATGCGTAACTCAATTAGGCAGACACCAGGCCGGTCGAGGTCGAGAGCGGCACTTAGCTCGGGATTAACCCCTGACTGACACCGTCCCTCATGCACCCCGAAAGTCCCTTGCTGCCGGGAACAATGCACTCACCAGACACTTACACGGGCCCATCGCTGTTTAGCAACTATTTATGAAGACAAGTAGTTGCCACTTGCCAACTACAACCATGCACTGCAGAGGGAGAAATTACTTAAAATATGATTTAGACTTAATTATAAATAACACAATATGTATGCATATGAAATCAAATTAATCTTGAAATGGAACTCAGATGTTGATAAAGAAATAGTTTCAAAATTTCGATTTTCCTGTTGTATTTTTCATGAATAACGATCCTTGAACGAATTATGTGAAATTATCCGAAATGCATCTTTAGATTTGTTTCTAATTTGGAGCATATTTCAATAATGCCTCGATATACTATCAACTTTTTACCTCTGTACTGCAACTGCCATAGAGTCGGGTAGATCCCACCCGTGTTGGCAGTGCAATGATATGCCTTCCGGACCGTGTCTGCTTTGTTCCGTGTCGCCTCTGTTCTGGCCTCGAGTGCCCTCGCCTGCGGATGACACCCCGCGTGTTATCATTAAACACTTGGAAGGCGGGGAACAGGGGCTCCGGCGGTTGAATGGGTCAACTGACAACACTTGAGTGGACCATAAACGGCAACAAATGCAAATGCAAATGAAATTATTGCAGCCGCAGCTCCATTTCTCTGAATGACTGAATGTCCCCGCCGAGCCCTGCTGGGAAACTGTTTGCATATGCAGGGGCACACCGCAGATAGGCCACGCCCACTCCCACAACCGACCACCGCCCCTGGGAACGCCCATCGAACGGTAGAGATACGACCCATAAAGCCATTGGCGACCGACTGCATTTCAGCGATATAAATATTTATATAAGTTAATCGGTTTATGGTGCACGAGTAATTGAATTTCGCGACGGCGCCAGGTAAATGCAACCAGGTAGCTTGTAACATGGAGAACCGTTTCCCCCCGCCCCTTAACCCATTACAACTGTCTCCACCACCACCCCCGTTTTCGGGACACGCGGTAGAAGCAATGTTGCAAAACGGTGGCGGGACGCTTTAAACTTGATTTCTTACTTCGCGCATCCGTTTCCGCCAGGACCTGCAATTTCGCAAGGCCAGAGAACAACGGAGTTAGATTCGGGTATACCCGAATACAATATACATTGTTTCAGTTGGGAAGCACACTCTTTTATTATTAAAATAAACAAGATTGAAACGAATAATTTTACGATTTTTCATTGTATTAATGATGAAACAATAACATGATAATTTCTTTAAAAAAACAACCATTATTAAATTTAATTAATTTTAAATAAACAAAAGGACACCTGATCCCTTAAGCTCTTATAACATTTGCTTTCAAACAGGTTTATCTCACATTACTATTCAATTAGGTAATTACCAAATTTGAACTTTATCCAGATTAATATTCATTTATGTAATTTTTGTATCCGTTTGAATGTATGTGAATAGTGCGCAAATATGAAGTTTAATACGAGTGTTGCTAACGAATAAATGACGCAGTATCAATTTACCAGTGTGCGCCTGTTCTAAAACCCACAGCATACTTTTGCCAGTTAACCCAATTTGTGTAATCTTGAGGGTTAACCCGAGAAGGGCAATGCCGGCCCACATAGTTGTGTTACCCTGAGTATCGGGTTAACCCACTCAGTTACCCTTTAACCTCTCGTGGGAGTCCCCCCTTTTCTCCTGCAAGGGAATATAGCGTGCTCCAACATGGCGCCAACCGGAAGTGCCAGCCCGTACTGCAATGGCCGACGCGTTGCCCGTTTCTATGGCACTTCCGCTTTACTGCACATTAATTGCAATTAAATTTGGCATTACTCCGACTCCCCCAAATCCTCACTTCCCTTTCCCTTTCCCTTTCCCTTCCCCTTTTTCCTCGACTTTTCATCTCTCCGCTGGCCCACGCAAATTTAATGATGGCTGCAATTTTTGCACGCTGCATTTTCCTATTCTTTGCATAATTTAAAGTTGTTTGCTTTGGCTGCTGTTGCATTATTTGAACAGGAGGTGGGGAGGGGGGTCTGTTCAGACGGCTGAAAAGGGGGCGTGTCAGGCCCGCATTTAATGGTGGCGCTGCTTCTGTTGCACTGCTTCGGATATTGTTGTTTTCAATTAACTGCGCGTCTAGCTAAATGGCAAGTAAATTAATGTTTATAGTGCATAAATATGCAATTTATATGCGCCACCACCCCCTAAGTGTGTGTATGTGTGTGTAATGACGTCACACTGTTCAAAGTTGCTGTATTGAGCTGTATTGAGCGTTAATTTTAATAAGTTATTTTGAGATGCGAACTTAATGATGTTTAATATATTAAGGGGCTGCCGTTGCAGCTCTGGGAATTGCTTCGTGCTGTAAATTAATAAACTTTAATTGCGGATCCGTGATTGCAAGAATTTCCTATGTTTTATGGTAAAACATTTATGGCCGGACCTGCAGCAAGTGGCGGAACAGCAGTCAGGCATCCAAGCAAGGACATGAAGGCACCATCTTGCGGTGGCCCTGCTTCAAGTCATATACACGGACCAAAAAATTAATTTAATCCAATTTCTTTGCCCGTCAAACTTGGTCTATTTAATTTCAGGAGCTTATATTGCATTTAGTTAAATTTGAAATAAATTGAATAAGGTTTTTTTATACATTTAATTAATTTGCATTTGATTTTTTAATGATCCAAATTCGAAACTGAAGTATTGTGACGTGATTTAAGTGTCTCAAAAGTTATGTTCAGAATTTTTGTTCCTTTCATTACCTTAAGCCTTAAGCCTTACCTTCTAGCCTTAATGATAATGTTATTATTTATCTTGTTCTTGTTCTACTTTGAAACGAATCTTAAGTTTTTCTTCTTTTTCTGTGTACTTCTTGTGGTGGTGTTGTGTCGGTGCCAAAACTTTAATTGCCTTTCGGCCCGAAAACTTTAGCTGAATCTGTGCTGCTATGCATTTTGTTAACATTTCCGGTGACTTCTCGCTGGTGACGTCCTTCCGCCTGCCGCCTGTCGCCTTCTGCCCTGGGTCTCACCCCGATCCGATCCGCGTCGGAGGCCCGTTACTGTTGTCCCCGGTTTGTATGCCCTTTTAATTGCCCATTGAAAGTTGTTCACTTGTTAAAGTGAACTTTGGCCCTGCCAAGTTGTGCGGAGCGAAGTGGAGTGAAGTGAAGTGTAAGCAAGAAGCGTGAAACTATGTGTTATGCAATTAAAAGTGCAGGCGGAGGCGGAGGCGGAGGCGGCTCACTAAAACCCGCACCAAATCGATACGGATATTCAATTGGCCGACAGCAAGCCAATTTGCCGCAACTTATTTAAGGATCAAAGTGCTCAGTGGGGAAACTCTGGTGGGAAACTTGGTTGGGAAACTCGGGCCACCGCAGCTGCAGTTGCTGGTAATGAGTTTTCCATACATGCGAGACGGCGGAGACAGATCCCTGGACTAAACAATATGTGACAGCTGTAGACAGATATCACTCCATGACCCTATGCCGTACAAACTGTGTACCAACGCAGTCCGTCCCAATGAGGATGGGGGACGGAAAGAAAATTATTATGTTGCATATGGTTACGGGAAGGCCAAAGGACTACGGATTACACTTCAAGAAAGACTCGCAAGCGCAAATATATAAGGATTTTCTTATGTTGTAACATTTAAGGTACATTCATTTCTGAATATGTTGACCTTTTTCCCTGTGCATATCTCTATCTGGGGAATTTTATCCTCCGCTTTGTGCTGCTTTGTTTTCACTCCTGCGATGTCTACTGCTGGTGACTGGCATGGCAGCAACAATATATTTTTCTGATTTTCCACTTGCATTATCACGTCTAAAAACTGTCTACCATTAAAACATGTGTATTGTGTGCATTGTCTGGACTAAGGGGCATTTTCAGTTTGTCTAGTCGGGGAGAGGTGAATGGTGGGGCGGGGTGCAGGAAATTCAGGCAATATATAAACATAATTTAAGGGCAAAATGAGGAGGGAAACGCCCGAATAGTTGCCATGGAGCAGCGTATAAATTATGAGTGCTCGGGGGAAGGACGAAGGACTCACATGACTTGCTGGAAGATATGTGGCAACATTCGCCAAAGCTGGTTAGGTAGGGCAAACACTGAAATTTGGTAAACAAATACAATTTTCGAGTCAATTTCAGAAGGGCCTTTAAGGTTCACCAAATCCTAAAATACTCTTGGTAGAAGAAGAAATTTCTATATACGCACAACGGGTGACAGAAACGTACTAAATTTTATTTACTAAATGTGTCCCAAGAAAAAGGGGGATTTGGTGAAAGAGAAGAGTAGGTATATTGTTATGGAGTCTCAGTTTCAGTTTCTTATTTACTCTGACCAAAAATTCTTCATTTAGATCGAAATCTCTCCCTATTGTTTAGACTAAGTTAAAAGTGTAACTATTTTTGAATATTGGTGCTTATAAATTTGCTCACAAAGCCCATTTTAAGGATGAATAAAAGGAATTTCTCTGGGCCAAATGCACAAGTAAAATTTAAAAAATGTAATATCGGACTTTATAAACCATTTTCAAGTACTTTGCTTTTTTTCTTAGTTTTTAAAAACATTATATTCCCCAGGAAAATGTCATAAATAAAGCAAATTAACTTTACTATAGTCCCAGTTTACGTCTTAAACCAAACAATTTGAATTTGTATTTGGAAAGTATTTAACTGCATACTTTTATATTATTGTAGAAGATCTAAATACCGTAAAATCTTTTTTCTTTATAACAAAAAAGAAAGTCAAGTTATATGGGTATATTCATTTTGAACCATTGCAATGTCTATTTTCGTATTATTATAATATTAAAGGATCGGCTGATACTTCTAAGTAATGAAGTGGATTGATTCGTATAGCAAATGTTATTTGAAACACCTTGAGTTATAGTGTGATTTTTTTTCTTATAGATTCACATACAAAAAACGTCTGTGTCTGAATAATATTTATGACTCTGTGTCCATGGTAAATGAAGCTGAATTAAACGTCGTTTATATCGACCAAAGATGGCATCTTAACGTGCATCTGCATCATTATTCCTCATCCGCCGCCCACTCCCATTGACGGGTCCCATTAATTAAGTCTACGATCCTGTGCTTTCAGATAAGATGGAGATGCAGTTGCGACGCCTTGGAATCTGCACTGCCGCACACCCAACCCCCCACAACAACCACACCCATTTGCCAGACCCCAGCCCCTTTGGTCGTGCAATTGACTTAATAATTGGCCCCAAACATTTTAATGAGCGTCGGCTTGTCAGCGTCACGTTTTCCGGAGCGGGAACGGGGGGACGTAGAGCCGGCGAGCCGGAGAGTCAACGCAAAATATTTACAAGAAATGGCTGTGGCATAATTAAGATTATGTCGGAATACGAAGATCCGGGGGGAGGCCGGCAGCCTTGCCAGCGGATATAGTGTCATCTGAGTGAGGCGGAAATTTGAATGCCAAGGCGTGTGCTAATGTTAATATGATATGCAGGCGGATATACATACACATCCACTCGGCTCCATTAAATTCCAATGCGCAAACACTGAGTGTGCGACGTGTGTGTCAGTGTGGCCTGCCAGGTGACAGATGCACCTAGTTTCCCCCCAGACCCCATGGTTTCTCTTCAGCCATTGGGTATGCGTGTGTGTATTAACACCATCTCTCAGGAGCTCTGGAGCTCTAGGCACGTCTGGCGGCCTTTCACACGCCTGTCAAACGCCGCTCCGTCTTGGCTGTGATGTCCTTCCAAGCCCCTCCTTCGCATCCTTCAGCACACTCATAGACACTCAGCAAAATAAATATCAGAAGCCACTTGAAAGTTTTAAGAGAAATTACCTTTTTCTACATCGATTAGCAAAGATGAAAAACAGCAAATTAAATATGTTCAATATCGCAGAAACATATTAGAAATCTAAACCCATTATAAATAGATACATAATAGTCGTATCAATAAATAGATCTCTTACCATTTACCTATTTAATTTGTGCTTTTAACAAATATAACTTTCCACCTTTATGTAAAGTGCTAACTAAAATAATAAAGATTTTTGCGAGTGACATTTCCTCGGAGTGCCTGCTGCACGTAATGACATGCGGCTGCCAATGTTGTGGACGCGCATTGAGCGCCTCGCATCTCCATCGCCATCACTGAGGATCTCCAGGGCCGTGCATAATTTATACAACCACGGAAGCCGCCAAAAAACCGCAAATCTCGCAGCGCCTCGGTGCACACAGAAGGCGACAGCGGTGGCCACCAGCAACATTGCAGCAACAGCAACAGCAACAGCAACGGCATCGAATGCTTCAGATTCCATGCGGCAGCTTGGGGGAGCGCTTAAAGTAGCCATTGGTTGCATGTCGGTGACGTGACAACGACGTATTGATGGTTTTCCCATTTATTGCGAAAATCATTCGATAATGGATGGCTGCGGCTTGTCAATGATTTTGGTCGAGTGCCTGGCTTTGCAAAGGAATTTTCGGGTGAGTATTTGTGCGCTTTTGAAGCCAGCATTCCAAATTCAAAATATGTAGATTTCGCTTTAATTTAAGCAAGTTTTAAACACTCGCATAATCAGAGCTTAAATCTACAATTTCATTAAGCAAAAGTACTGTGGCATGGTTTTGTATAAAGTAAAATAGGTAATTCTGATTTCATTAAACTTTAAGAAACCTGTTTCTAACGTGTGAACATTAAATTCCAATATTCCTTGCACACTTCTATTTATTAATAAAGAGTAATAATAATATGTTCAATTATGTACAAAATATATGTCTGTATAAATAGGATTAATTGCTAAATAGAATGTTGCTTCGGATTTAATGTACTTGAATCCTGATCAGCACAATAATGCGTGTATAATAAAGTTTTTTTAAGCACCGAATAAATAAAGCCTGCAACGGAATCTGCCTTGGGTTACATATCAAGCCTTATATATGGAAACCATGTCTACCGTTCGAAATTGTACATAAAACTCTCTTACAGTTTCAGTTCTGAAAAGGTTTTAGGCACTCGGTTGCCCAGCTCCTCCCTGAGTTTCGCGGCCATTTTCAGTTCATCGGCAATGACCAAGTATTGTCCATAAGGCAGTGATGCCAGCGCTACCTCATCGGCCAACTCAAACGTTTTGGGGAATCCAGGAGCCTGAGGCCAATTGGCCAACTCCAGCTCCAAAGTCCACCTCGCAGCCAAGTCCTTGTAGTAGCCTTCCCTCAGAGCATCCACTTTCTCTAGCTTGGCCAGGTGCTCCAAGCTCTTCGTGTGGTTTCCTGAGACATCAATAGCTCGCATTAGCAGGGCGCTGGTTAGTAGGGTCCATTTGCTGTCTGGCTCGTATTCCAGAAGATCTAGGCACGATTGTAGTTGCGTTTTCAGCTCTGCGAGTAGTTCTTGGCTGCAACTAGCAGCGGCATGCGGTGGCGCAAAGTAGAAGATACCGTCTTCACTATCAGGAAGAGGGAGGAGATTTAGCTCCTGGTCGGACAGCTTAAGGGTGTATTTTGAGTTCTTTTGGTAGTCGAAGGTTGACTTGGATTCCCAGGTCGTTTTTGCATTGTCCAACGGCAGCCAGGGTGATAGCAGCACCTTTTGCTCACCAGCAACCAGTTCGATGTTGAGTTCATCCAGATCTGGGGTTGGTTTATCCAATGCGATCACGGCTCCCGTGGACCCCAGCCGAAAGGCAGCTATTCTGGGAGCCCTATCCAACTGGGCGCCACTGCCCAACAGCCATCTTTGGTAGAACCAGGCGCTGCTGTCATTAGGATCTGTAAAGGCGGCTGTAAGCACCATCTCTAGCTCCTGCTGCAGCTTCTCCTCACTCATCGGCCGGTCTCTCTGCTCGTTGGGATAGAGTTCCGGGAGCAGCAGACTGCGGTGATGCCAGCTGGAGTAGTTGGAAAAGTTCACCTTGATCTTCTCGGTGCAAAAGTCCAGTTCCTGGGAAGCTGGCACACCGGCCTTTGCCGTCACGTAGCGCCTATAGTCCCAGGTGTGGAAGTTGCGCTCGTCGAACTTGAGGTACTTGTTGCATAGATGAAGCTCCCGCTGCCAGTCTGCCTGGGGATTCTGCTCCAGCGTCCAGCAACGATGGTGCCAGGCATTATACGACTTGGGATTGACCATCAGGCACTGCTCGGTGAGGTCCAGTTCACAGCTAAAGACGGCCTGGGCCTTATCTTCCTGCTGGGGAACTGCCTCCTTCGTGCTCTTTTCCTCCGGCTCTACTTGATCCCCCGCTTGTTCAAGCTGCGGTGGTTCATCTTCCTTGGACAGCCTTGAAAGCTTTTCGAGCACGCACTCCCTGCGGATGTTCCACAGCGTACTAACGTCCGGATTACGTTGCAGGATTTGCACAGTCAGGCCAAGCATTTCGTTGTCCAACTCGCCTGCCGCCCGCTTCGCCTGAATTTTTCCCATGGCAGCGCGGTAGGCTCGCACCTTGAGAGCTTGCTCCTTTCGCTTCCGCTCCCGCTCCTCCTCCGTGGTCCGTACCTTCACGCGCCCGTGCATCTCTTCTATTTTCTTTTTAAATGCAATTTGAGAAATATCTTGGGACGAAAATATTAGTCAGCAACAGCTGTTCGGCAAAAGTGTGACCGCAGTCAGTTCGGAGAAATATTCCCCCTTTAAATGTGTCCGAGCTAAGATTACATTCAATGGTTTACAACTTTAATAACAGGGTGGTCAGGCTAGACTTCTTCATGAATGTATTCATTTCTAGGTTCATAGAGCTATTCACTAGTTTAGAGTGCTAAAAATATTGGATTCTCTAAAAAGCACGGTATGGAGAGGGTAAAACAACGTTTTAAAGTAGTGAGAGATATATAGGCTTACTAAGAAAGATTAAAGAATATTTGGTGAAAATTTCTTTTTTTTTAACCGTCAGATTTCGAGAAAATCGAATAATGACGAAAACGTCATTTAAAGCAATTTGGTGGGTTTTTCATCTAAGGTCAGTCGTTCAGAAGATATTAGCTATTTCGCTCTTTTTTCAAATATTGTAGTAAAAGCAAAAGTGAATTTTAAATAATGATGTTTCCAAACGTATCGTTGCGGGCTTTACCTGTAGGTCTCCGGTATTTAGTACCTAAAATTAAATATATTCTTGGAAAGTGTCTTAAAACTTGGGTACACAGCACCTAGTTTCCCCACCCTGGTTCGCGCTTGCGTATTTTGGCAGGGTCGGTAAAGCAGATCTATGTTAGACAAAGCAGTGTTAGTAGAAAGCAGATTATGTGCAGTAAGCTGCTTTTCAATTCATGTAGCAATCATCTGGCAAGGCTGCTTTTCAGAATTAAAGCAGCGACAGTTATATATAAAGCAAATTAGTATACAGTCGAATCCCGATAATTCGTACCCCGCTAAATCGAAAATCGCGATAATTCGTAAAAAATTCTGTCCCCTTAAAAAAAAACTCGTTAATTCGTAAAAATTCCATACATTTTGGTCCCCTCGTTAATTCGTAGTATTTGGCGCAACGCAAAGAATATTGAACCTCTTATAAATAGTAATTTTGTTTCGAAACGTCTTATAAATCGTAATGCGATGCGAAATATTTTGTTAGATTTTGCAGAAATCAGAACGGAGAAGAAATTTTATAGAATTTACAAACCAGAGCATTAATTCCTCAACTTAAACATTATTTTTCGACTCATGATGTGCCAAATAGTGTGTGACAACCTAATAGGTTTAGAAAACGCATTGGAAAAATAAAAGAAAAAAACACGAAGCAATCAAAAATTACCAATTATTTTAAAGCTTGAAATTTCGTTTTTAATAATTTAATGTTTCTGCTTAATTTAGTTTGTTAATTTTTTGTTTAATTTTCCTTTAATTTGAAAAACGTACACATGAATGTACATATTTATTATGTTTGTTTAATTTTAATAAAGCTAAACACATATGTAAACATGATGTGAAATGTAAGTACCCCGTTTATTCGACTCTTTCATTTTTGAGCCCCTTTAAATAGAAATCTCGATAAATCGAATTCCCGTCTAATTCGTAAAAAAAGTGATCCCCTTGCCATTTCGAATTATCGGGACTCGACTGTATTTAATAGTTACAATTCCTCAAAAGCGGGGCAACGAATTTATTTCAAATTAATTATAATATGTTTAAAGTTTGTATAGGTTGGTAATATAATTTAAAAAATTAAAAACAAAGAAAAAGAACTACGTAGGTAAACAACTTCCACTGCTGATATTTCACAAATCACAGCGGTATATACTTATACTAAGTAACTTATTATCAATATTTATAAAACGACATTCGTAACTAAAAATATCTACTGTTATTTAGTTTAGAAAAGGCTTCTATCAAATCGAGGTATTGAAGGCTTGAGTCAGACATTAAGTTTTGGTGCTGTTGTTCAGAGCCAAGCACTTCAATCTCAGCATGCGATTTCCACATTCAGCGTTATAATGATCAGCTCGCATCCTAACATCCTAATAAAAGAAAGAAAAGTTATGAATACTATGAAACAGTTTGCAGACTTTGAGACAAAAATAAATACTTTCTATCTATAACTTTGATGAAAGTTGTGACCGTTATATAGTATCTGAATGTGCCTGAAGCCATCAAAGTTCAAAAGGAAATTCCGAATTAATTTAAGATCCATTTTACGGCTGTCAGAACCGGATGCTACATGAATTCCCCGAGCATCTGAGGAGAGACATGGCTCGCATAATTAAGCCCGAAAAGTTTATGCTGCATAATTCGAGCGAATAATCCAATTTTGAGTTGTTCCCGCATAAATCAGAGTCCTGAATTCATATATTTATAAAATCCTGCTGATCCCGTCGCCTCGTATGTCCTTTGTTTTGAAGCCAAAGCCAGACGGACATGGTCTGGATGCCCTGACCCCTGATCCCCTCGGATCTCGCACACGAGAAGGGAATAAATCGACATCAACCCCGTCCGCCGAGATTCCTCCGACCTTCACTTTAATTCACCGCCTTTGTTTGGCGTTGTCACAAGAGTAGAAATCTCGCTTCATTGCCGCAGCTACTTGAATTCACGCAGCCGCTCGTCCTGCAGACAACACCCCTCCAGGCTTCCTGACCTGTTGGTCAGATTAGGGCCGAACCCGAACCCGAACTCGAATCCCTGTTCGTGCCCACACAAAAACCGCATTTGAGACGCGCAAAATCAGTCATAATATTTCAAATTTCATAAATTGATGCGTATCACATTAGGAGCGACGGCAGGAGCCGCAGACTAACGGTAACGATGCCAGGACCTGCCACGCCCCCGCTCCCTGCCCTGCTCGGTCGTGAATCCACCCCCGGGAACTGACTTTGATAAACGCGTTTGGGGGTGGCATTACGCCCACCCACATTTCAACGCGTCGCGCAAATTTGCTGTTAAATAAAAAAGTCTGGGAAAAAAACGAAAATAAAAATAAAATCTTTATATACTTGCAGAGAGAAAAACTACAAGGACGGTTCTTTAATACCTTTTACCTCGAAATGTAATTCTCTTTTGAGAAATAAATTTATAAAAAAAGGATAATTACAAATTTCATTTAGATACCCTTAATATTTATATAAAGCTTGGGATTATCATATTAAGCCCCTCTCATTGATACTTTAGTAATTCCTTAGAGTTAAATGTATTTTTTAGCTGTGCACATCTTTATATAGGTGGGCGGGCATGTACATTTTCTTTGATTTTCCTGCACGATTGATTTTCCCGCTCCAAGACATCGCCTTCGCCTTGCAGAGTCCTTTTCATTCGCACCTGCTGCTGCTCCTTCTGTTCCTTCTGCCGCTCAAATGGTTCCCCGACGACTTGGCCCGACTCTTGTCTATCCCTTGAACTCGAAGGCCCTGCCCATTTATGGGATATCCCAGCTCGAGTCCAGCCTCGAGTCGCTCCTTTTATTTTATTTCCTCTTTGCACAGCCATAAAACAATAAAGGAGATTTTTGTATTCGTATTCGTATGCCAACTTCGAGCCACTCTCGCCGGAGAAATGCTTTTCTAATTAAATTTTATGACTTGCCTGATGAAGTTTCGGATGGCTCTTCGTGATTGGGATTGAACTATTGATTGGTCACGAATGGGAAATCGCCCGCGGCGTCCGGACGGGGCTTCCTTTTGAGGGGATGATCCTTCGGAGAAGTTGGGAAAGAAAGTTGCGCAACGACGACTGCACCTTAAATTATACTTTATCAATGGGTATTTAAACTCTAAGCCGGAATAAATGTTTCTGCATCACGGAGTCGAAGATTTGTGATATTAAAGAATAACGCTGACAATGTGAATTGAAGCATAGAAAATCCTGACATAAAAGACACAATGACTGTCATGAAAGTCGATATATTATAATGGAAATTAACAATAACTTTTAAATCTATATTTTTGCACGTTTCCAAACACTTAAAGCTGGATCAAAGTGAAACTATACATAGAATATAGAAACTTTCCATTAAAGTTCTGTTTTAAGCCCTTGGTAATTGCTGATTAAGGCAGTAATGCGTGGAGTAGTCGAAACCCAATATCTGGAGGGAATAGAGAGTTGTTCTTGGATTTCCTTGTATTAATTTCCCCTCCTTGGAATGCCATTAACTTGGCCACTTTCATTTCCACGTGCTGTCGAACTGCAAGTGTTGCCATCGCGCTGGTAATCCAAGTAGACCTCAGCGAAATTCAGTGGTTTCTCTTGGCCAACCTCTCAAACCCACCGCCCCCCTCATTTCCATTTATCCCATCGAGTTGGCAGCCAGGCAAATTTCAGCGATTTCCCGGAGCATTTCGCTGCCATGCTGAAAATTGACACCTAATGCCCACGCAGGAGGAAAACTCTTGCATTCAGTGGCCCATCCTTCTGATGGGTTTTCTTCCACTTTATCTCCTCTCCTCCTTGGCCACACACTACACAGCGAAAACACATTAAATATGCCATTAAATTATAATCATTTCCATTTCTTGTAAGGCACTAAATTATATAAATTGTGTAAAGAATAATATATACTGTTTAAAGTTTATAATGATAAACTAAACCTAATATAGTAATGAAAAGGATCTAAATGCGTAATATATTGCTATTGATGGTAAGGTTTTATTGGTAAAGTTTTCTATATAATTTTTTTAAGTGTACTAGCTGAATGTTGGCTAAGCGAATGCGCAAGCAATTGACGTAAATAAGAAGCAGCGCCACGATGACGACGCCTGTAACCGGAGATGCCGCAGGATGAGGGCCTTGGTGCGGCTTATACATCTAGATATATATATATACATAAAATATATATATAGCATACGTATGCCTTGGCCACAGCTTGAGCTTTGAAATTGGAAAAAGTTATGCAAATCTGCTGACGACAGGACAGGAAACGAGCGCAATGTGAAGCACAAGAAGTGAATTAGTTTTTATTTTCTTGCTCCCTTTTCTCGGGCTCCTTTCAGCGTGCAATTTATGTGTGACACTGCGAGGGTGTGTGTAAGTGTGCCCGTGTATGTGTGTGGGCAGGACTTGGCCAGGATCCTGTCCAACTGTCGATTCCTGTGTGCGCAATTATAATAATTGCAATAATAACAACAGCAGCATCTAAGCAACTCTGGTGGCATGCAACGTG